CTTCCTGCCCGACTCGACCAAGCTACCCCCTGCTGCCTCCAGCCTCAAACCCACCGTCAATCCGACCAATCACGTCTCGGGCCATCTCTGCCCACATCAAGACATCCGCCAATCACGCGTAGGGCCATCTCCGCCCACATTAAGACCTTGGCCAATGACGATTTGGGCCGTCTCCGTCCACAGGACAACACTTTCTGCAGARACCCCTACTTGGACTACCTGAATATACTGAATGACCAGGTTATTCCATCAATGGATTTTTTTCTTCTCTGATGGCACGGCCATATTCCAAGATGACTATGTCAGGATTCATGGGGCTGGAATTGTGAAAGAATGGTTCAGGGAGCATGAGACATCATTTTCACACATGGATAGGCTCTACAGAGTCCATTGAGAATCTTTGGGATGTGCAGGAGAAGGCTTTGCACAGTGGTCAGACTGGACCATCATCAATGCAAGGATCTTGGTGAAAAAAAAAATGCAACACTGGATGGAAATAAATCTTGTGACTTTGCAGAAGATTATCAGAACAATGCCACAGTAAACACACCCATAATCAAAGCTAAGGGCAGTCCAACAAAATATCAGTGTGTGTGATCCTTTTTTTTGTGGCAAGTTTTTTTTTTTTTTTTGGCCAGGCAGTGTATTTAGAAGTAGTACAAATATCAGTAGGTACAAAGATTCTATGTATGGGAGTGGCATATTGTCTCACTTTGCCTCTGATATTGTCAGAGCTAATGAGGCCTTCAGCTGGGTTCACACCAAATGCGTTTTGAGCAGCAAAATGCGCCCAATGCCTCAAGTTGGATGCATTACGTTCAGACTGGGACAGAGACTAGACGCGCATCTGAATGGGAGGAGCGTCGTGGTTATTTTCCGGTCTGTCTTAATGGCGGATTAAATAAAAGTGAAAATAAAGAAAATGGCTTTGCTGTATTTACTGAAAGCAAGTTAAAGTTGCGCACAGCAGATAATTAATTCACCAGATACAGTAATATAGAGGCAGTCTGTTCAGTGAGCTGACAAATTATTTTTTGTCCCAAACCCAGTTGAGCACCGCGGTCAGTTTAACGAGCTGCTGACCCGCATCAGTGCTGATACAGTATCTCCAGTCAGAACACCAACTACTGACTACTATTTCAGCTAATGACCACCTGTCCGTCTGTTTCAGGTTAGTGGACAATATTCAGGAAATCGTGATGTGGAAAGATGAGTCTCTCTGATTGGTTGACGTGGTGCATCGAGCAGCAAAAGTTCAATTTTTTGAACTCGAGCAGCAGCTGCTTTGGACGTGCCGCATGCACGGAAAATGCTCTACTGCACCTACTGCTACTCTGCGTGCCGCGCTAAATAGCCTAGACATGCCGCACTGCCCCTAGACATGTGTCCACCATAGACTCTGCATGTAAACTGGCTGCTCAAAACACATCCGGTGTGTACCTGGCTTTCAAGGGAGCCTGTAGGAGGATGTGTATCTCCCTCAGAGTGGACAGGRATATGGAGAGACGGGCCAGCATCCACTGTTCCTGTACATACTAAAACTATGRATCGCTCTTCTGCTTGCAGTTTTAYTTTATTTTGAAATTTAGTGTATTTCTCTGTCAGCTCTTCTGTTTTCAGTTTTATTTTATTTTGAAATTCAGTGTATTTCTCTGTCAGCTGCCATAGTGCTGCCACATCGCTCAGTATAATGTTTGAAGTTGTCATAAAACTTGCAGATTCCTCTGTTAAAATAGGGCTGATAGTTGCACAGACATCACTAATAGAATAAAAATAAGTTTAATAAACTGGCATTCTTGTAAACAAAACTAGCTTGGTGATAGGTTAGGTGATAAGTCACCAAATTTTGACAAACTATGTATCTTTTGAAGCTTTTGAGATGGAGAATTTGAAATATTAATAATTCCTCATTGTGACTCATATTGCTAGCACAAACCACATGCTGAAATTTTTTTTTTATAATCATAAGGTTTTGTATTCTGAATGTAAAGGAACAATGTGATTTYTCACAATTTTATGTCAAATTATTTGTAGATGCAACAATATCTAACACTCTTTCCCCTACTTTGCTGGCCTTGGGAGGGCGGTGGAGGTGAAGCAGAGCATAAAGGTTAATAATGCCATTGGTGGTGGTGGTAGAGGGGAGTGGGGTGCTGTGTTCATACTGCTAGGTTGCTCCTTCATTGTTAAGACTTGCTCTAATCTGTTCGTCTGTTCAGTTCTGCTCAGATGTGTGTGTTTCCTTGGCTGTGTGTCCATCACTCTGTGAAAGTGATTGTGGGCGGACGGTCAGCGTCTGGTAGTCCGACTCTTTTTTATAAGTGCRCGTGTAACCATGGGCGGCCAGTTTGTCTAAAATGGAGACACATTTGGCCRATGCTAAATTAATGAGAACCGCTTAAAAWATGCATGTGGAGAAGGGGCTTTAATCTCTGTTCCCTGAAGTAATGAAGCTTTTGTCAGTTGGTGGTGGKGGGGTCTATAGAGAGGGCGGACAGTTCTGTTGGGAGGGCAGACCGTCCTCCTTGTTGAATGGTAGAGGAAACAATGCACTCATCACAAGAAGGGTAGATGAATTATACCATTRCTGATATGGCACTGTTTCTCAGGTGAAGGCAGCAGTGCAACAAATTTCTCCTCCTCCTGTTTTTTGTCCTGAGAACAATTTTGAGTTACTCGTAAGAGACGGCAAGTAACTTGCAGCTGCAAAAACCTTGCAGTTCATTGGTAAATCCCAGCCGAGTTGAATAGAACTTTTCCATTTTACTGCTCATGGTCAGTGACATGTTTGCCTACTCAGAGACTAGATGAAATGTGTTTAAACTAATGCTGGGCACGTTAACGCATTAATATTGTGTTAGTGAAAAACATACGGAAGTCACTTGAAATAAACAAAGACATGAAAAAAAACTGAATGTTTAAAAAATTTCACACAATAAGAAATATGAAATAAATAAGAGGAAGATATAAAGAAAAACACATTAAAAAATTATGTGTTGCACATGAAATATACTGCAATAAGCAAGCATACACATTTAGCCAGAGCAGAGTAACAGTTTCTAAAAAAAATCTTCTCTCACAAAAACCTATGCTTTTTGTGCATCATAAATACATTAGTTGAGCAGTTATGTAGCTAATAGATGCCAGCTGTGCACACACTGACCATCTAAAGTCTGACATCTTGATGGCAGGACATCACAGAGGTATTGAGTTACAAAAAAAAGATGTTTGTGCCAGTTTCAAATCACTTCTCTACTTTTAAACAAGGTCAGACAACATGATGTACAACCCACCTCGTTTTAGCACACAGACTAAATCCAATTACCGGGATAGAGAAATAAAAGGCAGGAAAAACAGTAATGTAAAAGGATAATTTATGAGGCGGAAAAAACACTGGAGTCTGGAGCCTGTGCTACCCACAATCCAACTGAACCACAGAGAGTATGGTTGGATCAGCCTACAGATGAGCCCAGCTAAGCTCATGTTTCCACCTCTTCATCAACAGATTTATCTCCTTTTCCCCTTTTCTTTCATTTGAACTGCTGTGTTCTGTTGGCACAGTATTGTTTCCAACTTGGCTCTTTTTACTACAGCAAAGTTTACAATGTCATTATTCCCCTTCGCCATGAAAGGTAGCTGATTGTGTAAGTGTGTCTCTGTGGGTGTGTTCATTTTTCTGCCTGTCAGAAAAATATTTAACCATTCAAATCCAACTACTATAAAATAATAATGTATATCTATAACCAAATAAATTTTGAAGTYAACCTAATTTAGGATGGCTGCCAGGACTAATCAATCTTAGCAAAAATCAAAAACAACTAACTCTGCCAGTTTTACCTATACTGTTAAAGCTAATGGTGTCCTGATACTGATACTGGTATTAGACCCAATACCAGAATTTTTACAAGTACTTGTACTCATTCAAAACACCCCAATAGCTGGAACTGGTATTGATAATGGATTCAATACTCCATTAAATGTGTTACAGTTTACATTTCAAGTGGAAGTTTGTCAGTTCCATGTTAAACAAAATTACGCAAGTTGAAAATTTTTTTTTATTTATTTATTTTTTAATTTTAAAATTTTGCAGCAGTACATATCATGCTGTATGTTTGATTTGATATGGTCAGAAGGGCTGTAGACCTATAAGAAAGGAGACGCACGTTGTTCTAAATAAAAGAAATGCATTTTTAAAGTCACTGTGTAATGTTTAGGTTCTAACTCAGTAAGTACTCAATATCAGTGCAYGGTATTGGCGAGTACCCAAACTGAAGCACCCGTACTCATACTTGACTTAAACAAAACTGGTATCGGGACACCCGTGGTTTCAAACCTCATGGTAGTTGCTGAGAGTCAACTGTATCGCATATTCTGAGTGCTAATGAATGTGAAGGTTCTATTATTTTTAAAATTAGACCAGAACATCCGTAACACTGTCATTTTTCAAGACAGAAAGATWATCTTTGTTAAAAACACTTTGAAAGTCAGAAGGTGACATGTTTTCCTTCGAGAAATTTTAGTGCAATAATTATTGTAATCAAATGACTCTACTGATGACTTTTGTGTATACAAATTTWTTGTACTAAATATACAAAAAACAGACCAAAAACAACCCCTTTAAAGTTGTTCAAATGYGCATTGAAAAAATGAATGTTAAGGCAGCAAAAATGAAACAGTTGATGGCAGCCACCATTTTCAAAGTTTTAAGCAAAGTCAGAGTGACATAAGGCAAATGAAGTTATGAATATGGAATAAATCCATCCTACGGCAGACTGAGCTGAGTGGCTCATTAGCTCTAAATTGATGTGCAGGAGGCTGGGAAGCGGTTTCAGTCTTAAGGCTCAGAATGAATTCTCTCCTGGCATGTTACAAACGGATAACCTCAAGTTGTTAACTTCTTACTGGAGGTCAGGTCACTGGGAGAGGAGCTTAACACACTGGTGGATCTTTCACACGAGTGCAGGAAGAGGACTTTATGAGCTCAGGGGTAGAGGACTTACCAGATGCCCAGGATAAGGGCCTGCTCCTCAGCACTCAGGTCAGGCAGCTGGTACTGATCCGGCTCGGCTAAATTGATCTGATCCAACACTGTGTCATCACCCAGATGGTAATCCTGTCAACAAAAAGGAAAGGAAAACAATGAAGCTACATACAGCCATGGGAAAAAGAAAGTCTACCCTCTTTCAATTCTAGGATTTTTGGTCTTTACCAGGTTCTGTTTACTCACAAAATAAAGTACATTTAATTGTAGTAATTGACAGTGAGAGGGTGAACTGTTGTTTTCATGGTGAACAGCAGGACTGATTTCTTAAAGCATCTATCCAGACAGCAGCACTCAATGAGTTTGTTGAAGAAYGACCTCCGTGAGGGGGAGTGTGATGGATTGTCTGTTGAGTGACCTCCTCTTCCTCACAGACTCAAACTTCACTGGGTTCTGAGCAATGATGGTTCAAGTCCTCGTGAATGAGCTTATTGATCCATGAACCCTTCATCACAATCTAGTAGAGGTTCTCAGTCATTCTCCTGAACCCATGGACAGACTGGAGCTCAGATCAGTGTTCTTTTCAGCATGTTTTTCTAAGCTCCTCGTGCTATACTTGTTTTGCTTCTTTTGGATTGTTCTTTTAAATGTGAGGTTCTCAAATTGTCCTTAAACAGTAGGGCCATGCATTGGCAAGAATTTGGGGGGAAATGATAYATATCCTGACACAGGTTATGATTTGATGTATTGCGATACACTGCCTGGCCCAAAAAAAAAAAAAAAAACACCTGGATTTAACTAAGGAAATGGGCACTGGCCTCCTGTTGGATAATTACTGCATGGGTGATTATCTTTCAGCTGACAAGTTATTTAATCCCAGCTGGTGCAATGAGTTGCTTCTCATTTCTTAAAGGGGCAATATCATGTAAAATCAACTTTTTTGAGTTTTATATCACGTTATAATGTTATACTCTCAAAAACATGCCCAAAGCCTTGCTTTGAATCATTCATGCATGTTTGAGAAATCCTGCAGTGTTTTTAGGCAGCCATGCTGAGGAGCAAAACGACAGGTAGGGACCAGAAACGCCCCTGGGATGAGTCTCCAAGCCAAACTTCCTCATCACGGAGCACACCTCCCCACCCTCCACACCACACACCCCGCCCATGACTCCTGCAGGCTCTCAGCAGTAACAAAGCAAAGTGAAAGTGAAACTTAAACTGTCTGCTGCTCTCAACACTACTGCTCACTCAGTGAAGCTCTTTTCAGTTTCAAAGTACCTTTGAGGAAATGTTTTTTCAGTTGCCAAGTAAACTGCATCATAGCGCGTGCGCTATGATCTGGGGTTGATGCAGTTGGTCAGGTATAGGAAGCTTATTGAAAMAARCCACARCGAATGTGTGCTGTAATCAAAGCTAAAAGTGGTCCAATGTAATATGAGGGTGTGTGACCTTTTTTTTGGTGGCKACTTTTTTTGGCGAGGCAGTAGGGCTGCACRATATTAAAGAATCTTGCAATGGCGATAATATCTGTAAATATTGCGATGACGATATCAGGTGCAATATGTCATTTCTTTTTCTTTCCTCACTTTCTAATCTTTACGTCCTACTCTGTGGCAAAGTCACTTGTGTCTGGTGTGAGCTTTTGCTACCATGAGACTCTGTCCTACTTGCTAAATATTGCATTAGCATGAAAAATACAACTTCAAACTCTCCAAGTAGATAATTAACAATTATTGCACTCCAAACAGTCCTTTGCGATATAAATATTGCACACATTGATATTGCAATGATGATACATTTGTGATATATTGTGCAGCCCTACCAGGCAGTGTATACTGTAACACTGTAACCTCCAATTTACATTGTGATTCGCCACGCACTTCTCCAACCTTCACAATACAAACACACCCAAATTGGGGGTAAGCAAGGCAGTATATTGCMTTTTTTTTACTCCAAAGAGCGCACAATGCATTACATGCATGAAATCTGATAAAATTCTCATTATTTTTATGCAATCAGAAAAACACTTAACCACAAGAACTGCATTTGTTTTTCAYATTTCTTGTTACAACACCCATCTATTAAGCCTTAGTTAAAAAGCAATATAGTGCTTTTGAGAATAAATACAATATAAGGAAAAGAAATATYGTGATATTTCAGTGTATTGATATTTTCTTACACCCYTATTAAACACATGCTCTTTTCCTCTTTAAAAATCAGAATAATGTTCCACAGTCATAATTGAAACACATAAAGCAAATGTTCCGGTGATGCAGCTCAACATTTCTTCAATAYATCCCATTGTTTTGGCTTTATGTCATCTGACTGAGATCAGGTGACTGACTCCACCACTGACGAATGCGACCCTTCTGTACTGGGATGTTTCATCTAATCAGCTTTGYTACATTCAGCCAAGTTTCAAGTCACCACTTTCACAGACCATGTTGTATGTTTTTGATCAGGCATCTTTCCAAGGTTTCTCATGCAGCTGGATCTTTGTGTTCTTACTTCAAAGAAGGCTCTCTGTCTGCTTTGGCTTTTTTATATAGCTTAACTCAACCTTTTTGTTTTTGAGGCTTGTGTTTTTGATTTTGAGAAGTGTTCCCTTTAAGGTAGACTTCAATAAKCAAAAGCCCTCTGGGAGTATTTTATAACTTGGCTGGATGTAGTTGTTTTTTTTATTCCAGAAAAGATCCTGTGATCATCTATAACTGCTGTCTTTTATGGACAATCAGGTTATTTTTGCCCGTTTTTCTTTTTTTCCCCTAACTATGTGTCTGGCCAGTCTTAACGTTCCTAGTAATCCAACACCAAAATCCTTTTTACATGTTCATTCACAGCAAAGGATTTCAAATGCTWATGCTACATTAGAAAATCAGCTGAAGTTGTAGAACAAAAACAAAGCACTAAAAATAGAACATCTGTTGTTGACTGTGATGTTGACTGGTAAAAAGTTAACTAGTTTTAAAATTGGTTGTTTGTATCCAAATCAGGATGAGTTTGTCCATCAGGCACCACAACAAAGCAGGAAGTTGGAAAAAATTGCAGCTGTTTACCCAAATATAAGGACCTCAAACTCTGAACTGAGTAATTCGTGTGAGGAAGTGAATAAACAAAATCCTTCTGCTTTCTTGTGATTTGGATAAACTATTAATGTGGTTTGACATCAATAAGAACAACTCTTGATTGAGTGGTTTTTGTTTTGTTTTTATTAAAAATGGCACAGATGTGTCCAAACCCATGAAATTTACAGCTACATAAAGGAGATTCAATGAGTAACAGACTCTATAATGTTAGACCAAATGGAGCGCAGTTGGTAGTATGAACACACTGTTGGTCTCATGTCAGTGGGGTGTGGCACTCCCTTGGGTCTGGATTGGACTAGTCATTGAGCTCTGACTGATCAGCTCTGGTCAGAGTTGACGTCTGAGTATCTGATTTGGAAAAAAAATGGTGGATGTGGCTGGCCATGGGAGGACCTCAAGATTAACAGGATTAGGATTGGTCCTCTATACACAGAACAAGCATGCACACACATTTGTTCTTCWATCCTYGTGGGGACTATGCATTGACTTCCATTCATTTACTGGTCATCTCTATAGCCTAACTCTGACCGCTTACTCTAAACCTAACCTAAACTCAATTCACACCCTTGTCCTAAACCTAACCCCTGACCCACCAACGGGATTTCCCCCAATGTGAACCAAGGGTTTGTCCCCATAAGGAAAAAAATTGTATAGGTCCTCCTTTTTTTCCTTTTGATTTTTGTCCCCATAAGGAACAGTGGGTCCTCACAAGGCTATGTGTGCCGAGAAAATGGTAGGGCTGGGCGATATGGCCTAAAATCAATATTGCGATATATTGACCAGTTTAGCCCGATAACGATAAATGCACGACAACTCTTACCACCACACACAAGTACACGGCATAGTCTAGTCATAACACTATACACTGTGTCCATGTTCTTAGTCAAAGTTCACAGTTAAGATTTTGAACAGCTTTTCTGTAGTTTATATTTGTCATTTTAGTGTTTTTAATATATTTACTAAAAAACATTTTTGGCAAGACTCGAGACAGATATAGTCATACAAATGTTTAACCATCTCCATAACTTTTCAGTGCAAACAAACACATTATGTATTATAATTTTATTTAAAAAACATACCAAATATGTCTTCTGCACTGCACAAAATAACTTAAATACATCTTTTTACGTGTTAGACTGACTTGATTTCTCTATTAAAATAACTATTTATTTCAAAAAGATGAAATTATTTAGAGAGCTCATGTAATCATTTATTACTATTTAGTCTCCATATTTGATCATTTATTGAATCACAAAGCAGTTCAGTCACAGTATGGTTCTAAATATAAGCAAGCTATATTGTGAAGAATGAAATTTGTAGATATGATAAACTACATAGTGGGATTTTTTCTTTTTCATTTTTTGGGGGGGGGGTAACGGTAAGTGGAGACTCGACTTTTCTATAATATGGGACAAACAAATGTTCATCTGTTAGAGTTAATATTGTTTCATTAGAAGAACTGAAACAGCAGCTCTCACAGAACAACTCAGCTTGTGTGCACCTCAGCGTGCTCCYGTTAAGYGCTGTCGAGGAGAGGAGTTTGGTCACGTGAGCAAAGTTGGACATAATCTGTTCGATAACGRCACTCTGAACAAATAAACTTATAGTGCGTTAGATTTTAGATACCAACTTCTCGGGTAGCTCGTGTGCAGGAYGGGGTTTGCTCACTCAGGACAGGRGCTGCAGGCTGACCGGTGTTTATCCTGCAGACTGCTGCATCAACATCAGAAAGACCCGCACTGCTCTGCTCTGATTGGATAAAGCTGTGGGGTTTGTTTGATTTGTTGAAAGCAGCATCTACGAGACCACAACAAAAAACAAGCAGGTTTCTCTTTTCCTCTTTTTACAGAAAATACCGACATGGGCAAAATGACGTCGGTTATTGTCACAAACGTCGATATCGGTTATTTTTCGGTTTATCGCCCAGGCCTATGGTCAATAGTTAATGGTCAATGGTGTTAATGGCAGCCTACACRTGGAAGGATGAACCCATATCTTGGCTGAAACAATCTTTGTGACTTGCTRTGGGATACACAGGGTTTTGTAGAGTCCTATACCTGTCTCTGGCTGGCATGCACTTGAGTTTCTTGTGTTAAGACTTGACACACTATGACATTCCGCCTTTGATGTAGTGTGTCTAGTCCAACCAGAACCTTCATGGCATGTGTTAGTGCTCTCATGTACACTTTGGTTTTATTATCAGATCACTGTRACATCTGTACACCCCACATGCTGGACCTCGACATGGCCGACATGCCCCGTGCCAGCAGACCCTGTGACCCCTATCAAATGCCATCAATTGCAGGTAGTGCTGGCTGGGTCTGCTGGCCTTCACTCACTGTTCTGACTAACTGCTAGATGCACCAGCAACAGCCTGACAACACTGCATCACTCATGATATCTTTATTATATAGTTGTGTCCTCTGGTGCTTGTTCTACATGTCACAACTCCTTGCTAATCAAATTATTTTTATACCTAATGCTAGCTTGCACTTAAGACATCCAAACTGAACCATTTTGTCTGGATACTTACCTTTTTTAAATGTAGTTATGGATTTCTTTCAACATTTGACACTATGACGCTATGCTACGATGGCATATTGACCAGCTAGAGTTTAAAAAAGTAAAATCAGTTTTAAAGACAATACTTAGTCAACCTGCTGCAAAACAACCAACCAACATTATAAACTGAGATGTGAAAATATTTTCCTACTTTAGGTAGGCTGGTCTGYGGTGATGGGGTGGGACTGGCCTCATCGACCCTCTGATCCTCCTGCTCTCTTTTGACCTCAAGGATGAGCTGAGCCAAGAACGTCTGCTGGAAACGAGTGCGCTTGCCAAGAGCACCTGGATTACAAGCATGAAATCACCTCATTTAGTCAAACAGTTCAGCCTCATTGAGTTTAAATATCCTTTAAAATCATTTTATATAAATATTAGAAGACTGAATTTCACCAAAACAACCCCATCATTCCTAAATGTTAGCAGGTTGCACCAATTAGCACAAAGTAYGTTACTTACCAGTCATGTTGATGCTGAGCCCAGAGAGCTCCTGGGCCTTTTTGATATGGTTCTTGGCTGGCTGGTACTCATAGTAGGTCAGACTGGTGTAGGCACACTCCAGGTGGAACTGGATAGCCAGGTTCCTCTGCTCTGACAATACAGGCTGGCATCTCAGCACTGAGAAAAAACACCAGGGGGAGAGTGGTTTAAGAATGCTTTTAATATGATAAATCTCTATTAAAAAAATACTCAGCAGCGTAAGAAACAAACAGCTCGTGAAAATAAAAAACAAAAATGTTTATTTATCAAACCTTTGCTGAAGAATCAGGAAAAAAAACTTAAAAAAGAACAAATTAAGTCATCTGGACCATTACAGACCAATGGTGCCAAGGCAAAAAGCCAAAGTCTGACCCAGAGCCAGAGGAGAATGAAGGCCACCAAACTGTAGTTGGCAAGTCCAGACATTATTTAGCAGTTCCGTTACAAATACTAAGACATAACAGTTCAGAAAATGTCATAGAAAATAGAGAAAACTACAAGAGTCGAAAAATATGACCTAAAMAGAATATACATATCTATGCAGTACCAGGAGAGACTAATTTAAACTTTTCTGCACTCTTAGAGACTCCAAGAACAAAACAAAACGTATTTAATGGTTAAAAAGGGGTTTTTTGCCTGATCTGTCCTCTTTAATCCAACACCAATATAAACAGTAAAACAGAAAGTTATGGTTAATTTATAAACCATATATGCTACTTTGTATCAAAGTTATTGTAACACTGTGGTCACGAACAGGGAGTTAAAAAGAATTGTGGAATACAATGACAAAAGACAAACAATAGCTACTGGCAGGTTTTTGGTCTACACACAAAAGGTTATACAGAATCACAGTTTGTGCGCTTTAACACTTTGTATTTTATATAAATGTGAAACCAGTTCAAGTAAATTGTTCCATCAACATGCGTTTCCTTGGAGTCAAAAAACTGACGTCACAACTGTGACTTGTTTTATGTGTGTGTTTAGAGTGTGCTGGAGGATGGATAGGTCACGTTATGATAGGCATGCATTGCCAGTGACAACAGATATTTCAAGGCATCTTGGAAAACTTGACATGTTAAGAAAATAAATGAAGAAACCATGGCACTGCAGAGAACAAGGTTCCTTTTGTACCATAAGATACTTCTTTAGGACTTTGCTTGTTTGACTGCTGCCAGTTAGATGCCTCCATGGAGAAGMTGCTGAAGGGTCTGACATCTGTGTTATGGTTAAATGTGAGACAATTTCATTGATAAAACAAGTAATTTCAATGTAAATAGGCAGACATTTTGGAAGATTGTGGATATTCATGAAAAAAAAAAAAGAAATTAGAGGTTCTCCTCTAAACACAACACAGCCTACAGCCCATTTGAAAATAAAGTTAYTGGAAATGAAGAAAATGATGACTGCCATAGCCTCCTTGTTTCTCCGATCTGATTATAAATTCGGTTGTTTTGTAGAAACAAAGAGATCAACCTCAGCCGCAAATGTATAGAGGAAACAAAGCTGAGTGGAASGGGATAATTCATCACTCGAAATCGTACACTTTCCTCCCTGTTCAACATTCATGAAGCAGCAGCAGAAGGGCTGTTGGCACCCAGAACTGGAGACGGGACAGACAGAGATTTACATGCAACACGTCAGAGTCACCTTTAGAGCTGGCAGCCTCACAATGAAGGAAAATGACTCACTGCGGGATGTTTCAGCTCTCTAAAACAAGTAAAAGCAAAACATGTCACCGGTAAAGGGTGAAATTTATGACCWGAGCACACACTAAGAGCCAAAATAGAGAAGAAACACTGCAATCAATAAAGAATTGATATTTTGGAAATCATTTAAAAACAGACAACGTACATTATATACCAGAATACCTCATGTATAAATGTATAAATCCAGCTTCAGTGAGTGTTTGCTGTCTGCACTGCCATGATGATGCCATTTTTTGAGACACATATTTCTACAATAGGTATTGCCATTGCTTCTTTTATGTTCTTGCCTCATTGATGTCAAGCGTCACGTGCCTTATCAGGGGCAGACGTAAGGATTTTTTTCAGGTTGTCCAGCTAACAACCTGTTGACAAAATCTAGTTGTMTGCCAAAATTTTTAGTTGTCCTTTCGAAAAATGGCAGAGAGAAATGGTCAGAAAAAGGTTTCCACATAGGGTTCACTGTGACCTTGACCTCTGACCTCATGACTGTGAATTCAAAAAGGATCATCTTTGAGCCATAAGGAGTCCAACTGAGTTTGACAGAGTGAAGTTTTCTCAAAGCCAAGAGAYCTTTAGAGAGTATTACATTGTTTTGATGTTTTAATGAGGAGGTAACCTTGATGTTTTCATTCTATTAAAATTTGCATCTTTATAGACTCAATAAAAATAACTTGATTACTCTTTGAATCAACCATCTACCTTTGTAGGTATTTACACATATTTTTTCAACAATTAGCAGTGTGATGTCTGTCTGTGAACAATCTGAATCTTTAACTCTCAAACAGCAGCAAACAGAGGCCGTCATGAGTTAGTTACAATCCGAGTGATTAAACTAGACACTGAACGCAGCAGCAGCAGCAGCAGCAGCAGCAGCAGCAGCAGCAGCAGCAGCAGCAGCAGCGAGTTCTGACTAACAATAGTTAATTAAAGCTGTCCCATTGTCCATTTGCTAATGAACATAGTGATTAAAAAAAGCTGAGCGGCACAGAGAAGATTTAAACTGAGTCAGACATGAAGGCAGCGTCTCCACAAAGAGTGCTGCAGCGCGGGGACACAAAACATCTGCATGCATTTCACAGCCTCACAKCGCCTCACGAGAAGCTCAGGAAAAAAAATTTGCATGGCCGGCCACTGCTCTGGAATATGGATCAGGCTGTTTTGTATCCAGCACAGACCGCTTAATCTTCCCACTGTTAACCATCAACGGCAAACTGCACCACAACAAACACAACGGCTGCAGTAAACAATGAAGTCTAACAAGCTGCGTGCAAAATGTGAAGAAAAACAAATACACAAACCACCCTAAATGCTTAAAAAAACCCATAAAAAAACAAGACAATAAAAAGGGAAGCTACTTAAAGAAATCTAATTTACTGGCAGAAAATCTGAATACACACAGCTTGTATAGTATGGTTATAAAAATATAGAAGCATTTTAGTATATATATACACACACACACACACAC